TTTTCCCCCCTCACAAACCTAATAAAGACCTTCCTGTTCCTCCCGAGTTGTTTAGCGTTTTTGTGTAATCATACCTGCCAGTGATGACACTTTTGGTGACGCTGCCATTGGGTGCTGTCGTAGAGATGCTAAAAATTATTTTGAATTGTCAATAGAACACCATTAGATGGTTAATCATGGTTAATGTACACCTATAAATTCTTGATTGTTTCTTGACATAAATTTAGAATTACAGGATTTAGGGAAGAAATCTACAGAATTAAACAGAAATAAATATAAAAATAATATCAGTAAATAGAATGGTTTCTTTGTTTTTTATGTAAAACATTCTTAAAAATCCTTATTTCCAGGGTTAAATTAGATACTAGATGATTCATCACAACTGGAAGAAGGTTTTTTTATTAATCAACTGTAGGATGGGAGTTTTTACATCGAAACTTCAGTAGACCTTTGAAACTGCCTATAAGTTCAAATATAAGTTTTTGAAAGAAACTTATAGTCTTATAATTTAATGCATTATAAACATATAGTTTTATCATTTAAAGAATTTAGTATATTATATCAATTATTATATTCTATTATATACAGCATTTATATACTGTGGAATTATTAAGAAAACTGACGCCAGTCAGAACTGAAGTCTGAATTACTTAATAACTTAAGAAGAACTTAATAACTTAAAGAACTTCAAAAGGTCAAAAGGGGGCGAGTGTAATTTTGCTAAAAGAGAACCAATGACCGGCCGAAATGCCCCTGAAACTTCACACATAAAGTCGCACAGGGGAAAAGACCGTGACATTTCATGATGTCATGGAAGCCGCTCTCTTTAAAAGAGTCTAAGCAGAGGAAGTGAGCTTCAGAGTTCAAGAGCTGCAGTATGGAGATCAAAACAGTCTTAGTTACTTACACTTTGATGTTGATCGTAGGAGGTAAGACAAACTTATTTCTTATTTACATTGGTTTAGGCTACATCTCTGACTTTTAAAGTAGCGTTGTGGTTGACTAGTTTGGGATCATATTTACCTGCTACCTTTAGGTAGTTTGCATGGGTAGTTATGTTTGGGTAGGGTACATCGTAAGAGAAGGTTTCAGTTGTATGTCAGTGCATTAAATGCTTTAT